TATATATATATATATATATATCCCAGATTTTTCTCTTGAGCTCCAGGTCTGCATATCTATCTACCTCAATGGACACCATCTGGGTGTCTCAGAAACCTCAGTTTCCACCTGCCTCAAACTCAACGTGCTTCCACCCTTCTGTGTAAAACAAGACATAACTTTTGTTTTCACATGTGGGAGCCAATCTCTGATGCAGGAAAAGCTTAAGATAGATCTTTCTGTCTTCAAACATTTACTAGCTCCAATATAATGCATATGACAGAGTAGGCCCATTTGAAAACAAATGCAGCAGAAAGAAACCACACAATCAAAACAACTCTTGGGCTGGGGATGTGGCTCAAGCAGTAGCGCGCTCGCCTGGCATGCATGCAGCCCGGGTTCGATCCTCAGCACCACATACAAACAAAGATGTTGTGTCCGCTGAAAACTAAAAAAAATAAATATTAAAAATTCTCTCTCTCTCTCTCTCTCTCTCTCTCTCTCTCTCTCTCTCCCCTCTCTCTTAAAAAAAATAACTCTTAAACGAGTTGTCTATACACATGGTTTCCATGTCTCATTTCCTATTCACTCTTTTATTTAAATCCACTTATTTTCCAGCCCATTCAATCGAGCTTCCATCCCCAACACTTCACCAAAACTGTTCTTGTCAAAGTTCCTCCAATTTACCAACCCCAATGGTTAATTGTCCTTAATTACTGGGCTTCTCAACACCATTTGTCCTGCTGATCTCTCACTCCTTGAGATTCTTTCCTCATTTTATTTCAGGGACTCCTCTTCACTTCCCTAGTTTTTCTATTCAGTCTTGTTTGTTGGACCTTCTAATCATTGGGGGAAACTTTGTTTTGTTCACAATGCTAGGTATAGAACGCAAGGCCTTGCACATGCTAGGCAAATGATCTACTAGTGAGCTTAACCCCAGGTCCTACTTCTAATCTTTCTTTTCTCCAAACGTTGGAGTGCCCCAGGGCTACTCCTTAGCCACCCTCCTCTCCTCGCCCTGTACTCAATTCTTTAGGATCTCAGTCAGTCTCATCCTTGGGAATCCCAAGTCAAAAATGTCACTCCTCACCTCCTCTCTCAACTCCAAACTCCTATAACCAAAGGTTTACATGGCATTTCCACTTGGACATCTCCCCAAATGTGGCCAAAACTGAACTCAAGTTTTTGTCCAAATCAGGAAATAATACTCAACAAATGTCTCTAAGCAGAAATCTAGAGGTCATCCTAGACATTGATTTCCCTACCTTGTACCACAATCCATCCCCAAGTCCTGTCAATTCTGCTTCCTAAAGACAGCCCTATTCCTATCAGTTCTCACCAGTGCTACAGCTTTCCCCATCCCCAGTCTGTCTCCATAGTCTTGGACTGTTTTGTGTCTTTGTTTGGTACCAGAGATTGAACCCAAAGGTCCTTAACCACTGCACCATATCCCCAGCCCTATTTTGTATTTTATTTAGAGACAGGGTCTCACTGAGTTACTTAGCACCTTGCCATTCCTGAGGCTGGCTTTGAACTCATGATCCTCCTGTCTCCGCCTCCTGAGCAGCTGGGATTGCAGGTGTGCACCATCATACCCTTCTCCTTCCTGGACTCTTAATTGGATTCTCTGCCTCCATTCTTGCCCTCCTATAATCCATTCTCTATATAGTGATCATGTATGTAAATACATCAACTCCCCTATTCCAACCCCTTTAATATACATCCATTGTCCACACAATAGTTTTCAAACTTGTGTATGGGTAGCATTTTTTTTAACAGTACGAATTTTTTCAAAAGTTAAAAATACTCTTTAAACAACAACAACAACAAAATTGGATACAGATAAAAGTGGTGCTGTGTCTAGTTGGAGAGGTGTATGAATCCTAAAGTCCCATCCACTCAATGTCCCTCTTGTTCCTTCCTGCACTTACCACCAGCAGCTACTCAGGTAGCTCCACAAGGCAGCTCTGTGGAACTTTAGTGCTCTTGGAAACCCACTTGGAAAATCTGCAAGATAAATTCCAAATTCTTACAAAACACAGAAAACAATAATAACAACAAAAAGCCATTTCCACATGCTCTGCGCCTTGCTCCTTGGCCAGCTCACATCTCACCACTCATGCCTTACTTCTTATGCTTCAGATATGGCCAATCACTGGCCTCTCCCTCAGCACCCCCAGTAGTTTCAGCCATCAGTGTGCAAATTTCCTGTTCCTAGGGGGATACTCTGTCCTCCCTGCCAGGCCTTAGTCCCACAAACTGCTCTTCCAAGTGCAAACACAAAAGTCAGCACCGCCTCCTCTATGAGGGTGTGTGTGTGTATGTGTGTGTGTGTGTGTATTGTGGAGTAAGGAATTCCTCACACTCTCAGAGCATTCATAACATTGTGCTATCTTGAACTGGGTGCCTTGAGGGCAGCCATCTTACTTTGCTTATCTCTGTATGCCACAGTGCCTGGTTTGTAATAGGTGCCCAATCAATTTTGGAGAATAGCCCAGTAGACTGAAGTGATGGTCTTGACCCTATTAATAGGCCTTATTAATATGGCACTTTAACCAACAGGACAAACTAGATATGCCTATCTTTACTGATAAGCATAAAACACACTGAGTGTGGTTACTCCTTTCCCCTCCTGGAAGATATAAACAATGTATCCCCTCAGTGACAAGTTCCTGAGGGGAAAAAGGTTTCTCAAAGCCAGCTGCCAGTGGCAGCTTTTCTGAGCCATATTTGGCCAGACTTGGAGCCCAACAGCACAGCCAGATTTTTGAGTGTACAATGGCTACAATGTGCTGGGCTGCAGGAGGGCAGACAACAAGCTCTATATTCTCTATATTGTTTACAATGACTTAACAAACGCATTTCATTCAAGTGGAGGGCCACTGGCCTGAGAAGACCATCAACACAGGGAAGGAGGGGTCAGTGGAGGGGGAAGTCCATCAATTGAACACCAATCCTCCCTGGATAACTACTGAGGCAGCTCCCACTATGACTCTCGTGGTTTTTGTCAAAGATGAGTGAGGGGAAGAATTCACTTACAAATAACAGCTTCTATTTCTTTTTTGTTTTTTTCCTCTTACACAGTACTGGGAATTGAACCTAGGGCCTGATGCATGCTCGACACACACTTTACTAATGAACTACCGTCCCAGCCCTTTTTCCTTTTCTTTTGAGACAGGATTTCACTAATTTGCCCAGGCTGACCTCGAACTCTCTGGAGTAGCTGATAGATAGATGTACATCACCACATCCTGCTCTCTCCAATTTCTTTAGGGTTTACTCTACACTAGGCATTGTATTGATGGCTTTATGTATATCATTTAATTCCTCTTAACCACTTAAAATAGATATCATCATCATCATCATCATCATCATCATCTCCATTTTACAAATGGAGAAATTAAGGATGATGAAGTCAAGTAGTTTGCCCAGGGTCACACAAGGAGCAAGCCAGGATTCAAATCCTGGGAGTTTGGCTCCAGAGCCCATGTTTTCAGCCACTGCACCACATGGTTTCCCACTTGTACAAAAGCCATTGCATTTGTGCTTCTGGACCTTGGAGAGTTGACAGAGGACAACCAGGGACTGATATGGTCTTCAAGGGGAAGAATGTGACCATCAGTTCATGGAGCTGAACATGGGTATGGATACAGAAGCCAAGAGAGGCTCACCAGTCAGTAAACATTTAGAGATCATTGGCAATGGGTAGAGTGGAATGGGGTGAAGTGAGGTGCTGAGGTGCTTTATCCAGAGGTGCTGCCATGTATGTGGAGACAAAGCAGAAGCAGCAGAAAGCTGTGAAGGCAGGTTTCTTCTGTGGAAGGCCAGGTCACTAGGCTGCTTCAGAGAATGGACCAATAGCTCCAATATCTACCCCAAGGTATGTATCCAAAAGAATTGAAAATAAGCACTCAGACATATACTTGTATATCATTGTTCAGCAACATTCTTTATAATAACCCAAATGTCCATCAACAGATGAAAGACTAAATAAAATGTGTTGTATCAACATAATGAAATGTTACTCAGCCTTATAAAGAAAAAAGGTATGTGGCATTACTACTGTAATCCCAGATACTTTGGAGGCTGAGGCAGGAGGATTGCAAGTTCAAGGCCAACCTGGGCAATGGAGCAAGGCTCTATAGAAAAAAAATAATTTAATTAAAAATAAAATGGCTGGGGGTGTAGCTCAGTGCAGTGGTTCGATCACATCATGAGGTTTAATCACAGTACTGCAAAAACAAAAAAGCAGACAAGAAAAAGAAATGGCATCCTGACACATGCTACAACATGGACAAACATTGAAGACTATGCTAAGTGAAAGAAGCCAGACATGAAGGACAAATATTGTATTATCTCACTTATATATGATATGTACAATAGTTCAATTAATAGAAACAGAAACAGGGAAAATAAGGAGCTGTTATTTAGTAGGCGCAGTGTTTTAGTTTTACAAGAGGAAAAGAATTCTGGTGATAGATGGTTGCAATGTTTGCCCAATGATGTGCATGTACCACTATCCCTCAGAATCTATTTGAGATTGGTTCCAGAACCCCCAGCATCCACAGATGTTCAAGTGTCTTATGTAAAATGGCATAGTAAACCAGGCATGGTGGCATATACCTGTAATCCCAGAAGCTTGAAAGGCTGACGCCGGTGGATCACAAGTTCAAAGCCAGCCTCAGCAACTTAGTAAGGCCCTATGCAACTCAGCAAGACCCTGTCTTGAAACAAAAATATAAAAAGGGCTGGGTATATGGCTCACTGGTTAAGCACCCCCTGAGTTCAATTCCTGGTACCAAAAAAACAAACAAATAAAATGGCATAGTATTTGTATATAAGGTACACATTGTCTTCCCAGACACTTTAAATCATGTCTAGATTACTTGTAATACCCAATACAATGTAAATGCTTTGTAAATATGGATTATACTGTATTGTTTAGGGAATAATACAAGAAAAATGTCTGTATGTGTCAGTGAACATGCAATTATTTTCCAATATTGATTTAATCCACAAATGCAGACAGCCAACCATGAATGCCATTGAATTATAAAATTATAATCATTAAAATAGTAAAAAAAAACCCACAACAAACAAAATAGCTCGAGCAGCAGCCTGATCCACTGTTCTTGCAGCCCACAGGGAATGGTGGTGGGTTTTGAGGTCCACAGACCCAACCTTAGATAGCAGAAATTGGTCACTTGGGCAGGAGTGGCAATGAGTGTGAGTTGCCTGAAGAGGGTGCAAGAGAGCTCTGGGACAGTGAGGTGCCTCCTCCCCCCTCCTTCCCTGCCTACCCGCCTGTGGACATGCGCAAGCCCACATCC